CTGCTTTAACAGAATAACTTAATTGGAAGGGACTATGGAGATCTTCTAATCCAACCCCATGCTCAGGCAGGAAACCCTTTATCTGTGATGGCAAATCTATGGCACGCGTGCCACAGGTGGCACACAGCGCCCTCTTTATGGGCACGCGAGCCATCGCCCTAGTTCAGCTCTGCCATGCATGTGTGCACCTCCCACCAGCCAGCTGGACATTGGATCTCTGCCACGCATGCGTGGGGGGTGAGGCGGGGCATATGCCAGGGTCCGCGCACACATGCACTGGGAGCAGGGTGTATGCAGGGAGCAGGGTGTATGGGAGCACGTGCATGCATGAAGGGTGGGGTACATGCATTGGGACCGTATGCGCATTGCATTTTGGAGGTTGGGCGTGTGCTTGTTTGTGCAGGCACTTGGTCCGGAAAAGGTTAGCCATCACTGCCCTATATCATTTCAGACAAAAGGTTGTTCAATCTCTTCTTAAAAACCTCCAGTTTCCGTTGTAAAGGCGGCTCTTTACAGGTGAAGGGGCTGGCGGTCCCAAGGGACCGTCTGGCGGCTACGAGAAGCAAACCGGAAGCCTGAGCACCCACAACTTCTGAAGGCAAGTCAGAAAAACTGTCAGAAAATTTCTCCTTAGTTTTAGGTTGCTTCTCTCCTTGATTAGTTTCCATCTTTGCTTCTGGTCCTGCCTTTAGGTTCTTTGGAGAATAGATTGATCTCCTGTTCTATGGGGCAACCCAAAGAGCTGGGATCACTGTTATGATAGAACACTGCTATCATGTCACCCCATCCTTCTTTTCATTAAACTAGACCTAGCCAATTCCTGCAACCATTCTTCCTATGTTTTCGTTTTCAGTCCCCTAATCATGGTTCTGCAACCCAACAAGACAGACACAGACTTCAGAGGATAATTAGAACTGCAGAAAAAACAATTGCTACCAACCTGCCTTCCATTGAGGACCTGTATACTGCAGGAGTCAAAAAGAGGGCTGTGAAAATATTTACACACCCTTCGCATCCTGGACATAAACTGTTTCAACTCCTACCCTCAAAACGACGCTATAGAGCACTGCACATCAGAACTTGACACAAGAACAGTTTTTTCCCAAACGCCATCACTCTGTTAAACAAATAATTCCCTCAACACTGTCAAACTATTTACTAAGTCTGCACTACTATTAATCTTGTCATCGTTCCTATCACTCATCTCCTCCCACTTATGACTGTATGACTGTAACCTTGTTGCTGATATCCTTACGATTTATATTGACTGTTTCCTAATATGATTTGATTGCTTATTTGTACCCTATGACTATCATTAAATGTTGTACCTTATGATTCTTGACGAATGTACCTTTTCTTTTATGTACACTGAGAGCATATGCACCAAGACAAATTCCTTGTGTGTCCAATCACACTTGGCCAATAAAGAATTCTATTCTATTCTTTGTTCTTCTTCTTGGTTCTCTTTCTAGAGTTTCTAGAGTTTTGGCTGTGGCTCTCTCTCCAGGTCCTCAAAGTTATTTTTATAGCCCTTGACACATACTGGCTAAAATGTGTTGAAACTGACCATTATTATCCTTGACATTGTAATAATCCAGTCTGTACCTCGTCTTATTAAAAATCATTACGTGAAAGTCTCAAATAAGCAATATCATTATAGGTAATAGGTACACCCATTTGGTGGTACCATAGCAGAGAAATCTGCAGAGCCTCCCAGGTAACACTGTTACTCATCCACCACTACCCTGGCACCCTATATGAGATGCATCAGTTGCCAATTTACTTCTAGTTGCAATTGAATATGAGGGTGTCATCTTAAAGCTCTTCATAGCTGAGCACTTGAATATACCCGAGACCAGCTTCTCAATGTGGAAAGTGCCCATTCAGTAAGATCCAAGGGGAAGAACTTGTTGTGGATCCCTATGATGAAAAAGGTCAGCATCAGTGACCCAAGGGCAAGCTCCTGAGTGATGACTCTTCTCCCTGTGACAGTTTATTTCAGCAGTAAGGATGGGCTTGTCAGAAAAGGCCATAGAAAGTTGGCTATTTAGAACAGTCTATGGAGAATGAATTAATTATTTTCTCAAAGAAGTGGCATCATAGACAAGTGTGGTTGAGATTATTGTTATTTATAGTTTTTATTATATTCTTTTAATCATAATTACCACACTAAAGTTTTGTAACCACTCAGAATCAATAGACTAGAGTAGCATAGAAGGATGTATAGTTCGGGAGAAAATCACAAATGTTTCTAAATTTCCAGAAGAAATATTATGTTTCAGTGAAATAACTGGATGGATAGGATTAAGACAAGACTACAGAAAAAAGTGACCAGGCTATTTAAAAATCAAATCATGTAACTGAATGCCAATTGCTTGGTAAGTACAGGTAGTCTTCGACTTACAACCACAATTGAGCTTAACATTTCTACTGCAAAGCAACACAGTTGTTAAGTCAGTTGCACCCCATTTTACAGCCTTTTTTACAGCCTTTTTGCCACAGTTGTTAAATTAATAGAGAAATGGCTTTCCCTATTGACTTTGCTTATCGGAAGCCAGCTGGGAACTTAGAAATGGTGAGCACGTGACCCCGGGTCATTGCAACTGTCATAAATAGAAGCCAGTTGCCAAGTAGCCAAATTTTGATCATGTGATTGTGGGGATGCTGCAACAGTTGTAAGTGTAAAACTCATCATAGGTCAAGGATACCTGCATCTGCTTTAAAAAGTTCTGCTTTAAAAATATGGTTTAATTACAAACTTATTCATCTACATACATGCTAAGCAGTAGTGGGTTTCAAATCCCGTCGCTACTGGTTCGCTCGCTCGCGTGCGGGTGGGCGGAGCCTCCTGCCGCCACTGCTACCGGTTCGCCCAATCCAGGGCGAACCGGTAGCAACCCACTACTGATGCCAGAGGAATAAATATAAATTTATGAATGATTTTATTTATTTTACAAGATAGAGAAAATGAATACTGTGGCATTGAAACATTCTGACTGAGAGGCAGAGTATTTTAGGTTGCTTCTGGATATTGGAAATAATAAATAAATTAAATGTTTATTAATTTTTTCAAAATAAAAAATTACAAAACAATTATAAAAGTAGAATAACTGCAAAAGAAAAAGGATGTAGGGAACAGACTGATTTGCTAACAGAATAAATGAAACTAGAATGGTAGAATAACATATAGATCAGAAAAAATACATATGCTGTAAAAACAATGACAAACCCTATATAATATGGCTAGAAAGAAAAAAAAGCTGCAAGGAATGCAGAGTCAAGGAATGTCTGAGCTGAAAAGAGGTAAAGATTGGGACTAAAATATTGCTTTTAAAGCAGCTGAGGGGACATAAATAAGTAGCCCAGAACACTAAGAATGGATTTTAAAAAAAAAATGTGATGCAATGATTTGGGGAAAAATTGAAGAGATAAAATGCTGGATGGAATATTTTAGGATATACTGAACAGTGCAATAAATTCTATAAGTATCAGAATATAATAGAGAGAAAAAAACTGATGAGAATCACAGATGTTGTGAAAATTTTAAGAATGGCCGGGTTGCAGATGGTGGGACTGGATGTTGTAATATAGATGCTGTTTGTTTATGGAATGTTATGAAAAAAACTGATTAAGTCAAGAGGAACAAAAGGACCAGAAAATCCCAGCTTGATGGTGCTGATGAGATACTCAAAAAGAAGAAGAAAAAAACTGAGAAGCTTAAACAAGAAACATATGAAGGAAGATTACTGAAGATGATAAAGTATAGAGAAGCAAACTGAACAGTTTTTCTTATATCATGCCTTTAATTTCTTTGATTTACTTCCCTTCAGCAGTTTTCATAATGTTGCCTATCCTGAAAGGAAATAGTATGATGCGTATATATTTTATATGAAACTAACCGGATCATGTATAACAAGTTACTTCCTGCCAATATTATCTGCCTGTCTGAATCAGCAAAAAACTGTATTTGAGTGAAAGTACATAAATGAGCTGCATATCTTATAACCGAGGGAGATAATATAGGACTGTCCTTTCTGACTAATTGTTTTAGAAAGATCCTTTCTGTTTTTGAAGGGAAATAGGCATAATGCAAAGTGAACAATAAACCTGTAGAATCATCTGTACTTGAAACACAGATGTTGGCTTGAGGGCTACTGTGGGTTTTTGTGTGACATGTTAGGGGCTGCACTAAAAAAGAACAACTCAAGATCAGAACCCAAAGTGATGGCACTTCTTCCTCCCTTATTATTTTTAAAGAATATATGTTATTATTTTTATTTTAAAAGAAATAATATATTTTTTTCTTTGTAATAGCAAAACAATAGTAATTGCAAAAGCTACAGCTTGGTTTTTTTTAAAGTACACAAATGTGTGATACTGAAATTGTTTTTTCAGTGTGATAGCTTCCTCTATTGATTTTATTTAAAGCATTGCAGAATTTTTTTGCAGCAGATAGAATGTAAGTTGCAAAGGCACCACAATTTTGGCAATGAATGATTCAAGTTATTTCCCAGTCTGGGCTGTGTGTATTTCTTGTGATCTACGAAGGACAAATAATAGCTCTTTAACATCCATACAGAGTCACAGAAGTGTGATAGCAGTATAGAAATTTGATAAATAAATAATAATGAATCCATTCTGCAAAGTGGGAAAAATCAGAGTTTGGTGATTTCTAGGATCTTCTAAGGAAGGAAAGGAACATAAAGCACCAATTTGACCCCTTGAAATGCTCTTGAGCTTGTTTTACTATGCTCAACATGATAAAAAAAAAAAATCAATTGAAATGTTTATTTCATTCATTCAGACTGGGGTTGGAGCTACAAGACCAGTCCACATAAACTGTGTAACCCCTAGGTTGTACTTTTTGAATTCCTGATTTGCCCCTGGGCCCTATAAACGTAAAATAATGAATAATGTAAAATAATGGTGCATGAATAACAATACACCTTTATGAACCATTTATGCAATAACATAAGCATATAACAAAATACATAATAAAATATTTGTACTGTATGTTTATTAAAATTTGATCGTGGTAGAAAGGGGCTGATGTTTACTGATTATTCAAAAATTACTTGTTTCATTCATTTCTATCATGATTGTACATTTAATTTGCGATTTAACTAGCAACTGTGTTGTGATATTAGCGTTATACTGAAATTACACTAGCAACAGACATTTTTATTTTTAATTTGTGCTATCTGAAAAATGTTAGTTTGCATTCCAAGTGCAGCTTATCTACTTGGCTTGCAGTGGGCTTCAAAACAAACGGCAAAATATTTTTGATGCCTATACTTTAACGTTGTTTCAGTAAATACATTTCTAAGAGATTTGCTTAAAGGTTCTGTTTTTGTGCCTCCGATATTTGGCACTGGTAATCGGTTATAGCATAAACGGAATCCTTCAGACCCTTTTGCTATAACAGCGGAAATGAAAGAAAGGCAACCTCCTCATCTTCCAATAAGTATCCCATATGCTTCTCAAGTTTCATTGCGGCCGATCACCAAAGAATTGCAAAGCATCTTTCTGTCTGCAGACGGCTTCAGGAAGGAAGGATACGCTGCAAGAAAGTCAAATCAGAAATATTAAAAGTGCGGAGCAGAGAGACTGCAAAGCCCGAACCAAAACAAAAACCCTGCCACAAAAGTTACACAGGCTTGGTCTTCACCTGCCGAAGAAAGCAAATTCCTCCCAAAGGATGGCCCCATTTTCTTCTCTTGCTTTTATAAAGAGGCTGGGGGTCGTCCAACTTTGATTCAGAACAGGAGTCCATTCAGCAGCATCCTCAAGCCTGGCTGGGAGCTGCTCACATCCCCGGAAAATTCAGTGGGAGAAAAAGTTTATGGAAGCGAGTAGGAGTTTATTCAACAGTGTCTGAGGCCTTTCAGAATCATGAGTGAGTGTCTATAAGGGGGCAATCAAGCATAGGCTGGGAATTATCTCTGTTGGTTGCCTACCTGTGACAGGCCCTCAAGTGCAGCTAAGAGGCTCATTCACTGATGGAGAAACAATGGCTGAAGGGGAACAAACAATTCCAAGGAGTCTATCATTCTGTATGGTGTTATCTTTAGGACTGAATAAAACCGGAGTTCCCCTTTTCTGCCTCCTAGTCAGCGCTACTTTTCGGAGGCAGTGGTACTTTTCAACTCTCTTTCACTACTTTTCAACAGGTTCATAAGGGCACGAAGTGCAGTATATAAAAAAAAGAGAGGATAATAACATTTACTTGGGTGCAGGAAAAGGCCCAATGGACAGAGCAGCCAAGCTTGCAGGACTGGAAAAGATGAAAGTTAGTGTTCTTGGTTTTGTTCTTTGGAGAAGTGCCAAAATCTAAGATCATTATAAATAAAAATATTCTTTAGCACTAAACAAGTTCTGCCGATGGAGATAAGAATATTGGTTTCCTCTAAAAAGAAGTAAAACCTTTTCCAGGGTACGGAAAATCCAACCCTATGTTGAACATATAAAATGAATAGAATAAGAGTAGAGGGAATTCAATTCAAAGATACTCTTGTTGTTGTATAAAACAAAGAAAGGGAGGTCAGGAAAGGGATCTGTTCTACCTCTATGCTAAAAGTTTGAATGTATACATTTATGCACTGTTTTCCAAATGGAAGATCTTACATTGCAGGAAACTTATTGGGAAATCGTTTTCTGAAGGATATCCCAGGCACAGCCTTGGAATTAAACTATTGTGAGCTATAGGGAGAGAAAGAGAGAAAAAGAGGAGAACCAGGAAATGTAATAGGAGATTAGTATTCTGCTACATAGGATTGGACAAGGGTGGGGTTTTTTTTGGTTTAGGGACACACTGCCCATATCACATTGGCTGATGTCTGCAGTTGGAAAACAAGAGATTTTTGCTTTTTCTTTCCTATTAACATACCACAAAATACAAATATAAATGGGGGGGGGGGGGGAGAGAGAGAGAGTTGTTTTCATTTTTCAGCCAACAAATTATGATCCTTGTATCAAAGATACAGAAGTCTCAAGTTTTTAAATGGAACTCTCTCAGGAGAGCAAAATTAATACTCCATAGTAGCAAAGCAATCCATTTCACAATTGAAAAGTGCCTTGGAAAGACTACAGCCGCAAAATTCTTCCATAACTCATCCACATAGACCTGGATATATTTCTCTATGCCTCACATTACATGTAATTTAAACATAGGGCAATATCATGTCATATTTCTTGCCCTTTTGAAATTATTTTGCCTCTACTATTTCAACTTTCTCAGTAGCACAAAGGTTCCTTGTGTTTTATAGATATTTATAAAAATGACTTGTTCATACTATTATGGAAAAGCAAAAAGCTGTGATCTGTTAATAATGTCTTATTCTACTGTAACAGAGAGTTGGAAATCAATGCTTCTTTTTCTTCCCTGTCTTTCCTCACTTTTTCCCCCTTCCCCCCCATTGCTCTTCTATTTGCTTTTGTATTTTGTATTTTATAATACTTTATAACTTAATAAAAATTGAAAGATAAAAAGTTCCTCAGGTTTTCCAGAGATAAATGCTCTGTGTTTGTGGGTGGGTATGTATGTATGTATTTTATATGCATATACAGTATACAAAAACAGATAAATAAAATGAAATATATAATAAAAGTAAAATAATATAATATAACACCACAATGGTGAGGCACAGAATGACAGGTAAAATGATGCTGAACAGATCTCAGGGGAAAAGCATGTTTCAGAGCCCAGGATCTACAACTAAAAATCCCTGCCACCTGGCCCCTCTTCCTGTTCTTTCAGGGAGGGATAGGAGCTTATAGCAGATCAAGTAACATCAACATGTTCAGATCCACTGGGCAGAGTCAATCTCTGGCAAAGCAATTTCTGATATGTAGGCTTTTCAGTCAGTGTTGATTCCTAGCAATTGCTTAGACAAGTTCCTGAAGTTTTTCCTGGCGTGAATGTCAGAAGTCAGTTGCCTCCTAGGGCTGAGTGAAAGTCAATGGCCCAAATCCACCTTAGCCATCTTTCATAGCTAAGATAACAGCTTTAATAATGCAGCAACTTTAGTACTGGTGTTATGATGTAGTAGATTATTTGTCCTACTAGCTGCCTCATTGCATAGTAACTGCAGTGTCTTGTTCACCACAATAGCCTTTGCCTAATTAATGTTCAACCCAGAACAGATATGAGTGACTTTATCTTCAAGGAAACCCACAAACACGCAGGCATCTTATTGTACTTATGATTCCCTGTAGGAAACTCAGTTGCTCCGAACAGAGGTGCTGAGCTGGAATGCCCAGAGAAGAATCAACATCTCTTATAGACATTGCCTATGCTTAAACCTGACTTACCAATGCTCAGTCAGGTCACCCTTTATTCTTCTGCCATGATCACTCTACATTATCTTTTCAATCACTTCATTTACTTTTCAGTAAACCAAGGAAATGCTTGGGAACAATGACTGGATAGGATTCTGCAGGATCAAACTCATCCATCTCTATGGCCATCTCCATATTGAGTTATATATCACAACTATATCATAGTTATAATTAATTGTTTATTGGGGCTTATATGATACTTCAGTCAATGGGTCTCTGAGCAATTTGCAGTCCCATCCAGTGGTGGGATTCAAATAATTTAACAACCGGTTCTCTGCCCTAATGACTGGCTGGGTGGGTGTGGCCATGGTGGGGTGTGGCCGGGGGTATGACAGGCAGCACTCAGTCTCCTGCACCACCACTCCCCGGGAGCAAAAAACGAGTCGCGGTAGGGGCACGGGCCCCCTGTGCCCCGTTTTGGGCCTAGTAGGCCTCCCTGCAGTCTCCTGGGAGCAAAAACAGGTCGTGGGGTGACTTCTGGAAGGGGCGGGAAGGGAAGGGGTGGGGCCAGCCAGCAATTTAACAACCGGTTCTGCCGAAGTGGTGCGAACTGGTTGAATCCCACTACTGGTCCCATTCTACAATAAAAAGATTATAATAGGAAAACAAATGATCAAAAAGATAGTAGCAAAACAAATCAGAAGCAAAAACAGAAGAAGACTTTGAGCAGTAATAACATTGATACAAAACCTAAAATTCTCATCTCATAGAAAATCCCCATCCTTGTTAAAACCTTACATTTTTACAGTTTTTTTAAAAAATGAACATGGTAGAGATTAATCTTATCTCAGAAAGTAAACTGTCCCAAAGAGGAAACACTGCAGCTAAGGAGGCTTTGTCCCTTGAGTTCTGTAGATGACCATCTCTTAAGAAGAAATCTACTTGATTAAATGTACTGGGTGTTTTTTCCCGTGCCTATTCTGACTCTATTACACTAGGTTCAGAAATTGCAACAGCAGGAAAGTTTTTTTCCACTGTAAATTAAAAGGAGACTACAACGGTTAGTCCTTGACTTACAACTGTACTTGAGCCTGGAATTATAGTTGTACTGTAAATTGTTGAGATCATTAAACGGGTCACCAAGTGACCAGACCCAATTTTAAATTTCTTGTGAGGGTTGTTAAGTAAACATGGTTATTGTTAAGCAAATCCAACAGTTGTTATGCAAATCCATTTTACACAATGGGTGTTTTTTCTCGGATACCAGATTTTTTTCATTTATTGTTTCTATAGAGAGCAATTTATTAAAGGACAATCGAATACAATGATTAGTCCCTTTTTACATTTCTCCTATCTATGTATCATTTATTAGTTCCATCTTCTATGAAAGCCTTCTTCACATTGGCATGTTTAGATGCTCTCCCCTCAGTTGAACATTCAAACATGAATCCAATTCACAATCATGATCACAATCATTCAAACATGAATCCTATTCATTATCTGTTCAATGACATACCTATCACATTTGGGGGGGGGGGAGGCTCTATTTACAAACTATCCAGACTGTCTTCATATGACAATTGTGCAATACCTGCTAAATGGCTAGGATCTGAAAGTCTCTAGGATTGTGGCCATATATTGTTCCATTGCTATGTCCATTAGAAGCTTTTGAACGTGATTGTTTTTCTAGGTGTATCTTGCACAGGCATAAGTAACCTTTTTTAACTGAATGCAGTATAATATATTTCTCAACTTCTGTACTTAGGGTTTACAAAGGGCCGTAAATGAAATGTACAGCTCCTGCAACAAGCTATTTTTTCAAAACAGATATGGCAAGACTATGCTTACTTGCAGGGTAGGTAAAAGTGTAAATGACAGCTCTCTAACCACCACAATTTTACATCACAGATACAAAGCACAGTCTGTGGGAAAGAGGAAACCATGACTTATCTGAACATATGGTTTCTTAATTCAAGTTAAAATGTCTGAACCCTGTTGCATCTGGTGCCATTTTAGTTTGTTAAAAATACCACACAAGGCTGTGACTAAAGGAGAAGAAATGGAGAAAAATACAGTTATTACACACTCAAGAGCCGTTTTTTGCGGCTCATTAGCCAGTGGCCTCCGTGACTAATTAGGTTTTGTCATTGTTGCCGGGTCATTATGCCTTAATTTTTTTGCATAGTTATTCAGCCGTCACTTGAGGAAAAATGAAGGAGAGAAATACCTCTCTGAATCATTTCTTTTTCTTTCTTTTTTCCAAAACCCTTACTCTGAGCTTAG